GGACGCATTACATGCAAAGCAAGATATGTCAAGCCTTACTTTGGTATAATTGGGATGATTAAAGGCTTGACATATCTCGCTTTGCATGTAATGCGTCTATCTCATATATTGGTTTCACCTGTTGAGTTGCCATACTGAAAGGCTTGACATATCTCGCTTTGCATGTAATGCGTCTATCTCATATATTGGTTTCACCTGTTGAGTTGCCATACTGAAAGGCTTGACATATCTCGCTTTGCATGTAATGCGTCTATCTCATATATTGGTTTCACCTGTTGAGTTGCCATACTGAAAGGCTTGACATATCTCGCTTTGCATGTAATGCGTCTATCTCATATATTGGTTTCACCTGTTGAGTTGCCATACTGAAAGGCTTGACATATCTCGCTTTGCATGTAATGCGTCTATCTCATATATTGGTTTCACCTGTTGAGTTGCCATACTGAAAGGCTTGACATATCTCGCTTTGCATGTAATGCGTCTATCTCATATATTGGTTTCACCTGTTGAGTTGCCATACTGAAAGGCTTGACATATCTCGCTTTGCATGTAATGCGTCTATCTCATATATTGGTTTCACCTGTTGAGTTGCCATACTGAAAGGCTTGACATATCTCGCTTTGCATGTAATGCGTCTATCTCATATATTGGTTTCACCTGTTGAGTTGCCATACTGACATAAATGAACATTTGCACGATATTCTAATTTTTCGAGTTTCACCTGTATATTACCACCAAAAAACCGTGCATGGGTGTGACTGTGAAGACACCAAGTGCAGGAGATTTTTCCTTTCAACAAGTTGTTTTTCTTTTTAAAAAACTATCCCAAGTCTTGGACCTCAGCTCTGCTGGAGGCCTATATCTCCTTTCACAGTTCTCATGTGCTGCTATTGCTTGAATAAATATCCTTCTCCCCACTCATCCAAACAGGGAGGTGCTTTTCAAAATAAAGTCTGGTGCTGGCCTGTCTTTTGCAGCTGAAACTCTGCAAGTAGCTGGTGACTGAATGTTTCCTCTTATGCTGTACAGTAGCACTGAGTAATACTTCCATATTTTTCCTTTGTTGCAGCTAATTTTGAAAACACAGGAGGAGCTACTGTGAACGGTGATATTTTTCAGGTGAGAGTCTGTGAACTGAGTGGGGCTCTGAAGATAAGACATACAAAAGTGAATATATTGTACAGAAGAATAGCTGTAGTAGAGGTATCCAAACCTTAGAGACATTTATTTAAGAAGTCTTATCTGAGGCATTTGGCTTTTTTTGATGGTTACTCAAAAGGGAAGAGTGCTAGTAATTTTTCTTCAGTTTTTGGCTGAAATTGTTTACAATAGCATCCTCTTGTATGGTACTGCATGTAAGCAGGCAGCAAACCCCACACTCACTAGCACTGATGATGTTACCTAGTTGGGTAATGAAATGT